TATTACATGATATCTTCCAACAGCTCAGACAAGACCACTATTAGATTTTTTGCTTGGAGTAAGATTTACCTCACAGATACAGTGAAAGAAAATTTAAATCATTATAAATGGAATACTAATGTAAATGATACCTTGTCATTTGTCTTCATATTTTGTCCACTAAATATACTATTATGTTAACAACTCTTCCTTTGAAGTTTAAATTGTATATACACTGGATATTTTAATTGTTTATATTTTGGCTAATGCCATGCATCTACCAGGGGAGATGAAGTACCCTTTTGCAGTGGCCTTTGGAAAAGGTCTAGTTCCTTCACCTTCAACTTCCATCCTTAAACTTGATATCCAGTTGTCATTGCATCATATCACTATGTCTAATCTCCAAAGGAAAGGAAACCCACAGGCTGATTCTCAGATTGTGAGGTGCAGTGTAAACCTTTACCTACTCTTCCTAGGAACTTCTGCTGATATAAATGAAGCAGGTTAATGAGGAATACAGGAGTCCCTAGGTGGCAAAAATTAATAAGCACTCAACTGCTAACTGAAAGGTTGACAGCTTGAATCTATCCAACATCACCTTGGAAGATAGGCCTGAAGACCTGCTTCCAAAAGGTCATGGGCTTGAAAGACTTATGGAACAATTCTACTTTGCATTCATGGGGTTGTCATGAGTCAGAATCAATTTAACAACAACAATAGCAATTATGAATAGGAGTTCTGTGGTTGTTTGCATCAAATGATCTGTGATTTCTTGTTTGAGACCAGCCCAAATGCTAAAAGATGAAGACATAGTTTATGAAAAATGAATGTGCTAGATTAAAATTAAAAGGTGGATATTATATTTTGATAAATATACAAAGGACCCTCTCTGCATGAATTTTGCAGAAAGAGCACTCAAATATTCTAGAAATATTTTTGATTGACATTTTTGAGCTTTGTATTGTAAACAGCTAAGAAGAAATAATGGTGAACAAGATAGAAGAATCTTGTCTTCATGAAACTTTAGACCTAGTGCAGAAGAGTCATCTGCACTATTTACGTCTATGTGTTATGATGCAACTTTTCCAGGGGCCATGCTAGTAGATGGGAAGGATATAAATCAGACTAAGCCATGGTATTTTCAATCTCCTCATATATATGTGAAAGCTGGACATTGAGTAAGGAAGACTGAAGAAGAGTTGATGCTTTTGAGTTGGGGTGTTGGTCAAGAATACTGAAAGTACCATGAACTGCCAGAAGAATTAACAAATCTGTCCTGGAAGAAGTGTAGCAAGAATGCTATGTGGAAGCAAGAATGGCCAGACTTTGTTTCATCTACTTTGGTCATGTTGTCAGAAGG